ATTTTTGGCGGGAACTTTCGGGGCTCGCAAAAAATGGCTCCGGCTCGTTGAAAAAGGCTTGGGCTCGCAGGCTCGCACAATAGCAACCTCCAATCAATAGATGGCGAGAGCGAGAATAGCGAGCTCCGCACTATTTACGATTTGGAAGCTAAATTGGCGGACGTATCCCTGCCTTTCAAAGAGACTGTGCCAGCAGCAGTGAAAGACTGGCTTAACGTACTCGCGCGTAGCCATGGAACAACTCGGGAGATGGTTCTGTTGAGTGTATTGACTTCAACTAGCGCGCTGATTGGAAAGAGCTCACTACAGGTCTTCTCCACGCATGAAGAAGTGGGGAATCTTTTCGTTGTTGTGGTCTCCCCTTCAGGTTCTGGGAAAACACCTGCGTGCCATTTAGGATGTATCGATCCTATCGTGGAACATTTCGGGCCTAAAATAAACAAAAACCTTCGTTATCGATGACGCGTCGAGTAATGGCCTGTTCAACCACTTCACTACGGGCAATACCAACCCTATCATCTGTATCGACGAGGCCCACTCATTTCTAACGAGGATTACGAGTTTATCGAAAGGTCCTCAAGCGAATCTGACCATGGAACGGCTATGCAAGTGTTACGACGGCGATTGCTGGTACGTGCTGAAGGGCAACAAGGGTAAGCGTACAGGGGTCCCGTCGGCACGAGTCTCGTTCCTTGCGTTCACTACCCCAAAGCAGTTCCTCGAAACGGTTTGCCCGAAGATGTTGTCTGCCGAAAATGGCCTGGCCGAGCGAGTGCTTCTTTTCTACCACAAAAAGGAGGAGAAAGACTCGGAGGTAATGGCCCAGCATTGCGAAGAGCTGGATAATTATCCTATCCAGTCTCAGTAGTGCTTGAGCAAATTTACGTAGAACATAACAATGTTCCAACAGAAGTACTCCCTGAGTGCAAGTGCCCGTGAGGCTTTCCTCAGATTCGCTAAGCCTCAAGATATGTTGCCAAGCACACAAGGGGCCAGCGTGGAAGGAAGGAAAGGAAGCCAACTGCAACAATTCTAAGCGAAACAAACACGTCCTCCGCCTTGCTCTTAGCATGCATGTACTATATGATCACCTGAGGACAGCCATAAATTTGGAGACAGGGGTAACAAGTCATAAAATTGCCTTGGAAACACTAAACATGGCAATCGCTCTTGTCCAAAGCCTCGAGATTTACAAGGGAATTTCGCACACTGTGAGTAGTAAAATATTGCACATGTACTTGTATGACTAGTTTCTTTGCTTGCTCTTATCGGTTATAAAACTGTTTTCTTTCCAGTAGTTTTCATACCCAAAAAAGTCTTCTGGGGAGGAGGGGAAGAAACATTTCTAGAACCACACACTCATTTTTTGGGGTATTAATTTTGGCATTTGAAAGGACCAGGTTTACAACTGTGACAACATCAATAATAGCAAGTTCAATACTGTACTTACAATTTAAGAATAAGAATGAAAACTTCTCCTGTGCTAACATTGTATCAAACTCTTGGTTATGGAACAAGGAAGCCAACTTTCATGCGACCAGAATTACTCCATTTTTGTAGAAATTTTTATGTGTGCTCAGTCCTCCAAGGTGTCAAAACTTAAAAAAGAAATTCATTTTTTAAACCTCCCTGAGTGCCCTTGTGCATTTACACGTATGAATTAAGAAAGAAAAGGTATTTGCCATTTACCAGACCATGAAAATATAAACTCCAACTCAAAGTAAAATAATTTCAACTTATAGTGTTTCTAAATTTACCTTTATTGTAGGCCAGCAAAATTAATGGCTCTGCTAAGGTGATAAACGTGGGTGTGGCAAATGAGGTTATTACCCTTAGAATCTTAACAATGAAAGGGCCATGCACAACTGCCTGCCGCATCAACACAAGCTTTTCCTTGCACTGCCATCCAAATGTCAATCTGGTCCAAAAGTCCATGCAAGATCTGGCAGCTGCTGGTCTTGGCATATTTAAAGTCATTAACAAACTGAAATTTTTTTATAAAATGCTGCCCATTGATGACCTTCAGCAGAAACTGACCAAATATGACATCTCTGCACAAGACTACAGAACAACATTCCCGAGGGATGATGACAGGCTTACTGCTGCAAGCAATATCTTCACAATGTCAGAGGGTCATCCATTTCAAGCTGGACTCAATGCCTTTAGAGAGAGAGAAACATTGCCACCACTGCTTTTGCTGAAAAGAATGTTAAAACAACACTGTTACATGAAATTATTATGAACAACTTTAATAGAGATTTAATTGAGAGAAATTGAGAATACATGTACCTTTCAATTGATATTTATCTGAGGGAAATTGAGAATACTGTTAAATAGACATTTATTTAAGAGAAATTATGGAAGACATTGTGTAGGTTTAGAAAATATCCATACTACCCCCACAGATGGGGTTTAGAAATTCCAGGACAAGAGGGTAGGGTCTGAGAGACCCAAAATTTCAAAGCAATGTATGAAGCTAAATTGGAATTTCTGGAGGGTTGGTGGGGTTATAGGGAAGATACCTTTCGGGCTGGGGATATAGATAATTATATTCTGGAACTACGCATTCACTTGAGAGAAAATATTAATACCTGTAAATTGAGACATTTAATTGAAAGAAATTACAAACTACCTTTGAATAGAAACTGAGAAATTATAAATACCTAAAAATAGAGACATTTTAGAGAAAGAAAGTAAAGAGACATTTACTTAAAAGAAAATAGTTGAATACCAAAAAAACAATATTTGTTATAAAATGTTACAGTCTTAAAATATGTTTGAATAATACAATGCAGTTACCTGACACTTAACATGTTATTCATTACAGATCCCATTTATACAGTTCTGGTTGTTAAATCGAATCTTTGCTAAAATTGAAACAAGCATAATTGATAAAGATGTTTATTTAAGTTACAGTTAAAATGCTACAGGTATTATGCATTATACAACCAAACAATGAAACAATACCCTTGATTCAAACTATGGACATGTTTGAATAGAGTGATTTCATAAGAGAAAAAGCAAATATGAAATTCTAATTCAATTTTTAGAATTTTATACAAAAGTCACACAGAAAAGTGATTCATTGCTGTCGTAATATGCCTGCATGCCCATTTACAGGACAATCATTCCAATTACATTTAAATTTGTGTTACATAGAAATTGCAACATATTGATATATCATGCATTATCATACTTAAATTTGATAAGGAAAAAATAAACAACTATAATGTATACCACACTAAGTCAACAAACATTTATGCCTGCTGATTGACTTTTACCATGTCAAAAATCCCAAACAGTTCTGAAATTTGAATTGAGTGCCAAAAATTGAAATAGACACAAAGTCGAATTTAAAAATGTTGTGCATCATGTGTGCTATGGAACCTCCACTTTGGGCATGGCACACCTCCACAAGGAGATGCTTTTCCTGGTCCCGGTAAAATGCTCAGACACACCTCTATAAGGAGATTGGGACACTTTGAGTGCTGCAAGTGCTGTTTCAACCCCCATTAAGGGGACAACTACTAAGCTGCTAATGATTAAAATGCCACCAAAGACACTGAGTTGTTCCAGTTTCTGCATACCTTTCAAAATAAATATGAACATACTTTGTATTTTTATTGTACATTAATTCTGCACTTATTGACAGGTTATTGCAGCAGTTGTCTACAAGTAGCAAGTCAAATCACAATTTAAAAAAGTCCAAGGTTGCTATCAAAAGCTTACGTCATGCATTTTTGGTTGCTTTAATAGATGGCTGCTTTGAAGGGAATAAAACAGGTATTTTTGTTCAAGTGGTTAATTGTAAACTAAACTCCACCCACCCTCTATTGGAGGAACACAGGTATATTTATGGGACACTTCACAGTCCTGGGGGTGCCCTCTTAATGAAGGTTCCACCCTATCATTGACAAATAATCTGGCCCAGGTTGTTCAAATCTGGGTTAAGATAACCCAGGGTTAGCATGGAATTTGATTTCAGGTCTGAAAGCTGTAAATTCAGTTCAAAGCTTTTTGCTTGTAATTTGATCAATGGATGTTCAAAAAAGAATAGGGAAAAATTTCTCTAAAAGGCTTTGGAAAAAAGAAATATAGAAACCTGCATTAAAATTTAACCCTGGGCTAGCACTAATCGGCCTTTGAACAACTGGGCTCAGGTGATTTTCTTGTGCAATCTGGAGAATAATAAGCACTCAGAAAATTTTCAAATATATCCCTGCGGGCTAGTGTTATTTTGTGCTTGTTTTTAACATGAGGTAATATTCGAAAAAACACTTTAAATGGATCCCATAGTATGATATCACGTACTACATAATCTTCAGGATTACTGGATGTTGGCCTTCTCTGATCACTCCCGATAACCACACCATGTTGCCACCATATTAAATTCACATTCGATTCAGATGAATGAACGCTCAAAACAAGCTGTATAAATCTGTAACTTGCTTCCGAAATTAGCATGTTGTAGGCGTAGGAGCAGTCCAAGATGTTGAAAGCCACAAAAAGATACACAACTTTGGTAAAACACTTAATTTCTTGTGATAAAACTACGAATTTATCAAACCGTTCGACACAATAAATCTCTGACTAATGGGAAATACAGCTGGCGAAGGTATATGTGAGCCCGCACCATGGGGCTTTTTACTTCCGCTTGAACCGGAAATGAAAACAAAAACGTGGAACCAAGAGAACCAGAAGAACTAAGAGAACCACGAGGACCACGAGAACCACGAGAACCACGAGGACCACGAGAACCAAGAAAACCAAGGAAACCACGAGAACCACGAGGACCGAAAAAACCAAGGAAACCACGAGAACCACAAGAACCAGAAATACACAATTACCGTTACTAAGAGTTAAATTATGTGGAGTCAGATAGTACAAGAACCAGAGAACTACCGAGAACTACACAATTACCGTGACTCAGTGATAGATTTATGCGAAATCCGGTAGTAAGCGATTCATGACGTCAGCTGTGGCTATTACACCGGAGATCTGCCGAAAAAAGTCACAAGCATAAATAATAGACTGTTATCTTAAAAAAATCACACTTACCTTACGCAAGGCAACAGGTTAATTTTATTTGTATGTTACTCGCTTTACCTTTTACCGACTTGTCGAACGTGACAATCGACATTCGTTTACGCTGCATCCGTGTATTTGTTGTTATAGAAACGAACAACGCTTCCCTCTGTTGTGAGTAAGAAACGAGTACATACCAAACGAACAACGCTTCATTTTTTTGTCAGAAACGGAGAACGCTTCCCTTCGTTGTTAGAAACGAACAACGCTTTTAGAATCGTTACTCAAACATATTTCAATTCCGAGCATACGATCGATTTCTGTGTGGTCAAAGTCTTCATGGTATTGATAGAAACCAAGAAAAAGTTTCTCAAGCTTACGAAACGTCCGTGAGTAAGAAACGATAACATATTAAACGAACAGCGCTGCATTTTGTTGTTGGAAACGAAAAACGTTTCCCTTTGTTGTTAGGAACGAACAACGCTTTAAGAATCTTCTGGTGTTTTCGGAAACAAAGAGCGCTTTAGTGATAAAAATTTCTCCACTTTATTGCCTATTAACAGTCTGAAATTCTGATCTTTTTAGTATTTGTTTCTTCGGACTTGACTTTTTTTTCGGGCGACATAACTAAAATTTCGGGCAACATGACTTAGGTTTCGGGCGACATGACTTCGGGCGAGATGACTCTCAGGCGACTTGACTGTAAAACCGTTTAAACACTCATACTTTAGAGGCATCTGCTTCCTAAGCTGCACGGAACACCTCATCTTGTTTACTCTGGAAAGCTCGTGATTCCAAAATCTTCCTCCTAGCGGTAATCAAGTAAGTTCAGAGACAATGAGCACATTATAGGGTAACACAAGATCATTTGAAATAATTATAAATTGACCACTGTAAAGAGTTTCTAAGCATGCCTTTCGAGCGTTAGCCCTTCTTCAGGGTGTAGTTGATTATCAATCGTTGGAACAGTCAACAGAAGGTAGTGCTAAAGGAATTGTGGGTAGCACTCGT